TGCTGCCCCTGGCCGACTACCATGAGTGCACCGCGTGCCGCATCAGCTTCAACAGCCTGGACGCGTACCTGGCGCACAAGAAGTACCAGTGCCCGGCCACGCCGCTGCAGCCCCGCACGCTGGAGCACCTGCAGAAGATGAAGGGGGCCATGGCCGCCCCCCTCAAGGGCCGGCACAGCCCCGGCAGCCCCGGTGAAGGGGACCCCGAAGGAGGGGTGCGGGTGAGGGCGGCCCCGGCGGGGAGCCCCGGCATCCCCTACCCCGGGGCGGACTCGCTGCAGCGTCACCCCAAGGGCTCCCTGCCGCCGCCGGGGGCCAAGGGTCCCCTGGCCGCCTGTCCCTACTGTCCCCTCAACGGGGCCATCAAGGGCGACCTCCTGGAGCACTTCCGAAACGCCCACGGGCTCTTCGTGGCCAAGCCGGGGCCACCGGAGGCCCCCGGTGCCAGCAGGACGCCCGAGCCCCCGCTGCCCACCGTGTCCCCTCCCCGCCCGCCCGGCCCCCGCCTCCGCCGGGACAGCACCAAGGAGGGCCGGGACAGCCCCCGGCCCCCCGGCTCCCCCCGCGCCCCCGCCTCGCCCGGAGCCCCCGAGGCGCTGCGGGAAGCCGCCCGCAAGCCCCCCACGCCCCCCGCCTACACGGACAGGGGGGTGCAGACCCCCCCGGGCAAGGCTGTGCCCGGCCCGGTGCCCAACGGCAACCACAGGTACTGTCGCCTCTGCAACATCAAGTTCAGCAGCCTGTCCACCTTCATCGCCCACAAGAAGTATTACTGCTCCTCCCACGCCGCCGAGCACGTCAAGTAACCCCCCCAGAGCCCCCCAGCACTGCTCGGGGGGCTGCAGGGGCTGGGGGATGGAACCGGTGCCTGACACCCCCTCCCGTGCAGGGGTTGGGGTGATGGAGGAACCCCCCCAGGAGGCTCCACCGGGGCAGCTTCGGCATCTGGAGAGCCCCAAAGTTCACCAGGGTTGGGGGGTGAGGACATTGGAGGTGGGGGTCAGCCCCCACCTGTGCCCCGGGGGGAAACTGAGGCAGGAGGACTGTGCATGGCCCTGCCCTGGGGGCTGCAGGGGGCTTTTCCCTGTAGACACTACGGGGCTGGGGTGGGGGGCACGGTACCCCAGGAAATCTGGGGGTGCCCCCACCACAGAGCAGACCCTGCACGGAGGCAGCCCTGGGAGCGAGGATGGAGCTGCCATGGGAACTGTGTGTATAAATAAGTGTGTACAGAAATAAATATGTCTGCTAAACACCTGTGTGGGGTGGGGGACACTGCAGGGGCTGGCACGGCCACCAACATCCCGAGGGCCATGGGGACATGGGGTGTGTACAGCCATGGTGACAGCAGGGGCAGGGCATGATGTCCCCACGCTGTCCCCGGGTGGCACCTTCAGCAGCCCAGGGAGGTCACACGCCGTGGGGCAAAGTGCAGCTCCCAGATGGGGCTCAGCTGGTGCTGATGGCTCATTAATTATCAAGGTAATTAAGCCCCACAGTGCCGGGTGGGGTCAGGTCTCTGCCACAGGAGCAGCCCCTGAGCTGCAGCTCCAGACCCTGCTGTGACTGCCCAGGTGAGTGTGGCTCAGGTCAGGTGTCCCCCACAGGGTGACAGGGGAGGATGGCCCTAAGGACCCCCCAGAGCATGGCTTCTCACCTCCCCACAGCTCATCCTAGTGCTTCCCAGTCCAGCACAGGCAGGCAGTGGGTTGTTCCCCTCCCTCCCACCCTCTCTGGCAGGGGTGGTGCTTCAGGCTCTTTCTGGGAACACTTGGGGACAGTCCCCACGGGCCAGGTCACTGGGGCCCAGTGCCCCCACTCTGTTTCCCAGCTGGTATCCCTGGAGCTGCTGGGCCCTTGGGATGGCCCTGACCTGGCCAGGCCAGCAGCAGCAGCACCTGGGGTTGTGCAAGGCTGGGGTGGGCACAGGGACTGCCCCTGCCCAGGGCTGGGGACCCCAGGGACCAGAACACCCCCTCATGTCCCTCCCTCTGTGCCAGCCCTGCACAGTCAGGGGCACAGGGAGCAGGGAGATTTCTCAGCCCTTTGAAAGGAGTAAGGACAGGCATGGTGCCAGCTGCCACAGGCCAGGGCTTTGGGGTTTGCCCCATTACCGTGTTGTGGGTGTCTCAGCTCTGTGCCAAGGGGTGGGAGCCAGGCTCTGGTGCCAGGGAGGAGGAGGATGAAGGCAGCAGCTCCCCTGGGGAAGCGCTTGCGACAGGTTCCCTCCTCGCACCTCTTACACCACCACCAGCTCAGGGTGCCAAGCAGTGCAAGGGCTGAGCGTCCTGGGTGTCCCCCCCCCCCCCCCAAAAGACAACACAAAACACAGCTGAATTCAGGAGAACTTTACTTAAATAAATATATTTACAGAGCAGCAGCTATTCCAGAGCAGGTTTGACCACACTCAGCCAGCGGAGTGCAAGGAGAGGCTGTGCCAGGCACCCTGGCAGCCTCTGCCCAGGCATTGACCTAGCGGGGTGCTGGGACCCCCGAGGGCTGGGGGGACAGCAGAGGGGACAGGCCAGGCCAGCCAGCCTCACTGTGACATCTTCTTGTAGGGCAGGGCAGGGAGGCTGCAGGGCAGGAGGTTCTGCAGGGGCAGCGAGCTCTTCTCCTCTTCCTTCTGCTCCTCCTCGGTGGCATCCAGGAGCTGCTGCATGTAGCACGAGGTGCCCAGCAGGACGTGGCCCGTGGCCTGCATGCTGAACAGCGCCCAGCGCAGGGCTTCCCTGGGCAGGGAGAAAGGGGTCAGTGTGCCACAGCAGGGCTGGGCAGTGTCCCCTGTCCCCAGAGTGTCCCCAAAGCCCCGCACTCACTTCACCAGGCGCCGGGCCCCGTAGCAGCGCAGGTCGTAGGACATGCTGTAGGTGCCATACAGGGTGGCTTTGACGTTGAGGCAGCCCAGGTCCTTCGGGTGGGTCTTGTACAGGTCGAAGGTGACAGAGGCGACGTCGATCCTGCGCGGGGGCTTGCGGGACAGGCTCATCTGGTAGCCACGTGTCTGCAGGAGAGCAGCACCACGGTCACCTGCTGCACCTCCAATCCCACCTCCAGCATGGGACAGATGGGACAAACCAGCCCCTCAGGGGTCCCCTCACCTTGGGGGCAGTCCAGCTCTGCCCCTTGCTCAGGGCCATCAGGGTTGTGCCCTCCTCCAGGGTCCGGAAGAAGGACTCAGTCTCCACGGCCGTGCCATCCTCATCCAGCACCAGCACGATGGGCGCGGGCAGGGCCAGGGCGCTCTGGGCCTGCAGAGGGGCTGGGGGTCAGCAGGGCTGGGGACAGGCCCGGGGCGGGCAGACAGAGCCCGGACAGAGGGACAGACAGAGGGGCAAACAGACCTGGCACAGCAGCTCAGCCAGGCTGGGGGCCATGACGCCCTTGCGCAGGCTGCGGTCCCCGTTGCACACGCGGTAGGGCCGGGGCCGTGGGGCCGGGCCCGCCAGCAGCTGCTGGGTCATGGAGGCGCTGGCTGAGACACATCTGGGAAGGGACACAGGCATTGGGGTGTTCTGAGAGCCAGCAGAACCCCCTGGCAGCACCAGCACCCAGGGAGGGATCTGGGGGGATGTCCCCCATGCTGGGGACAGGGGGTCCATGGCACTTACTTGGACACGGGGGCAGCCAGGCGCTGGCTCAGGGATTTAGCGTAGTCCATCTTCCAAGGGGCACGGAGCAGCCTGCGGGGAGGAAGGACAGTGGTTCCTGTCAGCCCAAGATCGGTTCCCACCAGCACGTCCAACTCTGCTTCAGGGCTTCTTCCGCTGCTTTCAGCTCCCGTCTGCTCCAGATCTCCCCACTGGCAATGCCGGTGACAGAATTGAGCCTGAGCTCTGTCACCGCTGCCTTTACAGGGGCTGGCCCTGCCCTTTGGCCAGGGCCAGGCCAGCGGTGGCCGCCCGGCCAGAGTCCCCTGCCAGCAGGGCTCTTGCGCAAAGGGACACGCGGGGGCTGAGTCAGCGCTGGAGCAAAGGTGAGACAGCAGCCCTGGGCTCCTGGGAGAGCACACTGAGGCTTTGGGGGTCAGGGACACCCATGGGAGCACCCCCAGCCCTGCTGATCCAGGGGTGTCTCCAGCCAGGAGCCTCACGGGGTCCAGCAGAGCTCCCATTCCCTCACCTCCAGGGAACAGCAGCTCTTCTCCCGAGGATCGAGCCCGTCCTCCTCACCTGCCCTTATGTACCTGTCACAGAGGCTCCTCCCCAGGCCGCACCCCTCCTGCTCGGCCGGGCCCAATGGGTCCGGTCCGGCTGAGAAGGGACCGGGAGCCGGGCGGGTCCGGCTGAGAAGGGACCGGGAGCCGGGCAGGTCCGGCCGGGGAAGGGCAGGCTGACAGGGGTGCCATCAATCCGTACAAACGTTCCCCTGGGTGTCACAGGACGGTGCCAGGCTGTTCCCAGGGGTGTCCAGGGACAGGAGGAGCAGCAGCGGCCACGAACCAAACCCGAAAAGTTCCCTCTGAAAGCGAGGGAGAGCCTGTGCGCATGGAGGGTGGCAGAGCCCTGGCACAGCTGCCCAGGGATGTGGGGTCACCTATCTGGAGCCATCCCAAACCCACCTGGACGTGTCCCTGTGTCACCTGCCCCACGTGTCCCTGCCAGAGCTCCCGAACATCCCCCGGTCCTGCGGCACGCGGTGCCCCGTCCCTGTGCGCGGGTGCGACCCGGGCACATCTGGAACCCTGCCCCTCCACGTGCACGCCCGCACACGCCCCCTGTGCAGATGTTGGCGCGTTCACGCGTCCACCTGTGCGCGCACACCTGCGCTCCGTCCATGCCGTGCGCGGCCCCTTTAAGAGACGCGCGGGAGGGCGGGGGGGGAGCAGAGCGCGCGCTCTCCCCTCCCCTCGCCTCGCGCCGCCGGGCCCCGTCGCGCGCGGATGACGTCACGCCATGGCCGCCCTGCGCCGCCGCGAGTAGAGGCCGCTCCGCCGCCCCGTCCCGCGCTGCCGCCGCCGCCCCGCCGGCCCCCGCCGCCCCCGGCTCGCCCCCGCCGCGCCCCGCACCGCGCCGGGCCCCCGCCGCCCCCCGACACCGGTGAGCCGCCGCCCGCGCCGCCGCGGCCTAGCGCCGGGGAGGGGGGGCGGGCCCGGGCCCGGCGGGGGGGGAAGCGCGGGGCGGGGGCGGCACCGGGGAGGGGGGGGACGGGGGCAGCCCCGGGAGCGAGAATGGGGCGGGCGGCGGGGAGAGCAGGGGAGGGCCCGGCGGTGTTCTAGAGGGGGTCGGGGGGAGGCCGGAGAGCGCGGAAATGAATGAATTCCCCCGCTCGTTCGGGACCGGGAATGGGACGGGACGGCCCCGGCCTCGGAGGGAGCCGGGGGATAGCGGGGCTCGGCAGGGACTCAGCGTGCAGGTGGCTCTGACTGTCCCCCTCGGCTGGCAGCGGGAGCAGGGACAGCGCCAGCAGCCGCGGCCTGGGGGCACGGCAGGAAAGCCCCGCCTGGCAGGAGAGGAGAGCCCCGGAGGTGAGGGGGCACCGCGGGGGCACAGCCGGAGAGCCCCGCCTGGCAGGAGAGCAGCCTCGGAGGTGAGGGGGCACCGTGGGGGCACGCACTGGGCACCACAGCAGCGCCTGCACCTGGGGCAGCCCCGAGGGGGCTTGGGGTTTGTCACCTGCAGGGTCAGTTCTGAATGAGTTTGGGGTTTGTCCACCTGCAGGGTCAGCTCTGCAATGGGTTTGGGGTTTTTCATGCATGGGGTCAGTCCTGGGATGGGTTTGGGGTTTGGCACCTGTAGGGTCAACCCTGGGATGGGTTTGGGGTTTGTCACTAATGGGGTCAATTCTGGGATGAGTTTGTCACTTGTGGGGTCATTTCTGAATGGGTTTGGGGTTTGTCACCTGTAAGGTCAGTCCTGGGATGGGTTTGGGTTTTGTCATGCATGGGGTCAGGTCTCAGGTGGGTTTGGCATCCATCACCTGTGGGGTCAGTTCTGGGATGAGTTTGGGGTTTGTCATCTGTGGGATCAGTTCTGGGATGGGTTTGGGGTTTGTCACTCATGGGGTCAGTTCTGAGATGGGTTTGGAGTCCATCATCTTTGGGGTCAGCTCTCAGGTGAGTCTCTCAGAGCTGCTCAAGGGCAGCACCTCCAGGCTGTGAATTCTTTCTTCCTAAGGTTTGCCTGAATTCAGGGAAAGGGTCCCAGTTTATCTTTGCCAAACTGCTGATCCAATATCAGTCTTTTGAGTGGGATTATCCCATATCCTGTGCTGGACCCAGGTATGACCCTCTGGTTGTCTCTTCCTGAGGCCCTGAGAACTCACACTCAGCGTTTGCTGGGGGAGAGCTGCAGGAAGGAGCTGTAGGAAAATCAGCTGTGCTGGGAAAACAAACTGCAGCTGCCTTTCCCTTCAGGTGCCCACCACAAATCCATGGGGAACATTCCCCGTTGGAGCTCTCTGAGCTCTGCTTCAGACCCAGCTCCTGGAAATGCCTCTCAGCACCAAACTGACCCCACAGGGCAGCTGAGTTTGGGCATTAAAGGGTGCCCTGAGAGCTGCTGAGTTCCCTGGGCATCCTGCACCTCAGAGCTCCCTAAGGATGGCAGAGAAATGAGGATTTTAGTTCATTAACCCTGTTGGCAGCTGGAATTGCAGTCAGGGCAGGGCTGCACACAGGTTCATCTTCTCAGTGTTCTGTGTTTCCCCTCTCCTGGATCCTGAGGAATTGATTTCCTGCTGTCACTGCTCCTCCACATTTTTCCCTGTGTTGGTTTCTGCTTTATCTCTGCTTTTGCAGTTGTTTGTTCCCTGAGCCTTTGTGTGCTGCCCTTCTCTCCTTCCCTGTCCTGTCAGCACTGTTCCCTCTGCTCAGCTCCCTCCTGGCTCCTGCCTGCCCTTCCACCCTGCTCCAGGGCTTTGCTGCCCTGCTTTACCCCCTGGATTTCATGGATCTGATTCACAGCAGCTCTTTGGCTTTTAGGAAGTGGATTTTACCCTTTTATCCCAAAGATTTCAGCCTGAAGGAAAAAGCTTCCTCTCTTCTTTCCTTCCCATGTGTCCTGTGACCTCCCCAGGGCTGCCAGGAGCACAAAAATTGGGAATGCCCTTGGTTCTTCATATTTATGAACATTTGTAGGATTTTCAGGCTGAAACTGATGGCTCTGCCCAGCTCCAGGTTTTGTAGTAACTCAGTTCCTGCCTGGAATTTCTTCCTTTTTAATTTTGCACCTTTTGTGCTGTTTAATTAACAACAGAGAATAAATTGGGCCTGATTTTGCAAAAGGAGCTGCTGGGTAAAAATTCCTGCTCAGACTCCTCTGGCCTTGTTAAATCAAAAGTGTGAGGTTCAGGATTTTATTTAAAATATATCCTGGTGAGGTGGAAGTGGGTTTTTAAAAGCAATTTAAGTAGCAAAGGGCTTTTCTCTGCCTGCCTTTAGTGCAAGGCTGCTCAATCCCAGTGCTTTCAGTTCAAAAATCTTGGGTGTCATTAAGCTTTGATAAAAATATCTTATAAAGGAAGTGAGGCAGGTGAGTTTAAATTGCTGCAGCATGTCCACAAGTTTCTCCTCCCGTTTTTAGGGTGGAAATGTGTGATTTGAAATGTTTCTAAGAAGGTTGGGAGGCTTTAGTAGGAACAAATTGGCTCTTTCCTGGTGCATCCAGGCACGGTGAGATGGCCAGGTAGGAGGAGCATCTCTGTCCCACCTTGTGCAAGCCATGGGACTCTGATCAATTCCAATGAAGCATAAATTCATCCTTCATTCCCTAATTTGAGATACTCCAGAGCCCAGGCTGTGAAACTTCCAAGTCACTGATGTGTTGTGGAACTAAGAGCTCCTCACTCCTGGGAACTTCTGCTGCCAGACCCTCAATTTCTTCCCTGAGAAGCTGTGACCTGCTTTGAAGAGGCTTTCAGCTCACTGAGCCATGCCCAAATCATTCCAAAACCAGGGAAAGTCCCCTTTTCTTTGCCTGAAAATGCCCATTATTGATTGCATTTGCTTCCTGTGGCAAGGCTGGCCCAGCTCATTTAGCCTGGGAGCAGGAGAGGTTTGTGAGCCTGGATGGAATTCCCAGTGCCCTGTGCTGCTCCAGGCTGCCTCAGACACTCAGGAAAGGAAGATTTGACACACTTTGAGCAAAAGGAGCTGGTTTTGGAGCAGGAATAGTTGTGCAGCTGGGACCAAAGGCAGCTTTGCCTGAATTTGGAAGATTTTTCAAGATAAAAGGCTGCTCAGTGAGAGGCATTAATACATTCCTGCCTCTTGCCTGAGCTGCAAGTCAAACAAGCTTAGCTGGGGCTTAGGAGAGTTAATGTTTTGCTTTTATAACTGGTTTTGAACTAGGAAGAAACTGCCTTAGTTTTACAGCACAAAAAAGGGCCAAGTTTATGGTAAGGGAGGGATGAAACCCGGGGGTTTCTGCTCTGCCACTTCTGTCACTGCTGCTTGAGTTAAAATACTTCCATGGAGCCAATTTTTCTCAGTTTTTTATGATACTTATCTTTATGTTTCTCTAAAGGACAGCAGAAAACAATTTAAGAAACCCCAAATGTACAAAAACCCCAAACAACCCCTAAAAAACACCTCAAAATCCCCAAAAACCTTTCAGGATTTCAGAGATCTGGGATAAATTGTGATTTGCAGATTTAAAAACCATCTCAAAAAAAACCCCAACCCTTGCAAAATTCAAAAAATTTAGAATAAATTGATTTGCAGAGTAAGACAACACTTAAAACTGGAATTAAACTTGTCCTGTTCCATCATCAGGCAGTTTTCCTTTTAATTTCCAACTCCCAAATTTTTTTCCTGCTGCTGATTTTACTTTTGGACATCTGGGCTTTGTTTTGGGATATTTCCATGCAGGGTAAGATTGCTGCCAAAATCTGCTTTGTTGGTTTTGGGGAATCTTGGAGCAGCAGCCCAATCCCTGAATCCAAGGAAATACACCCCAAAAAACCCTCCCTGCCTGGATTTTGTGAACCCTTCTCACTTGGGCCATCATTTATTGTGTTTCTTATCGTTTCTGCTGATGGAAATTAATAGGAAATGATTACAACTGCTGGATGCTGTGGATTTTATAAAAGCTGCTGTGCAGGTCAATGTTTTGTATTTCAATGTTTTATATTCCTCACCATCAGAACATATTTGTTTCCTCCCATCCCTCTAAAGGTCTCCATGTCAAACACAAAAAGCCATTTGCTTCACTTAAATACCTTTTTTTTCCCTTATTTTTTTGGTGCTGCTTATTTGCAAGAAAACAGAAAACAAATTTCCTGAGTCCACGTGGCCCTGGCAGATTTGATATTTGTGGTGGCCTCTCTGGGCTGACCTTTGTGTTCACACAAAGTCACTTCTCAGGCACTTGGGCAATTAAAATCCCCACTCTGAGCTGGCTCCTCAAGCCAATAATGATCTGTGCAGGAATTTATGAGCTCAGCATCAGGCCTGATGTGCTCAATAAGGAGATGATTGGTTCAGCTCCATCCTGGGGAACTGCTCAGAGCTGTTGTCACCAGGAGGCAACTTCTGGCTTTTCATTTGGGTTTGACCTTGTCAGGGAAATCAGAACTTTGCTGGTGAGCCAGAACCAACCTCAGTGTGCAAGGAAGCCCAAAATGTGGATTTTCTGCTGCTCTGGGCCCTGCTGATGCTGAGATGATCTCGTGTTTATCAATTCACTGATAGCAGCAGGGCCCTGGGGGCTTGGGGAGAGCACAGTCAGCCCTAAAATACAGCTTAAGGTGCTTCTGGGAGTGGTTTGGATTTATTTTCTGGTTTTAACTCCTCTGCAGACCTCCCACAGTATAAGGAACAGCATTTTCTGGAGTGGGACTTTGATCTTGGGAGTTTGCAGCAAATTCTGTTCGTTACTAAAAGATTTTGGGGGTTCAGGTGCTGGGAAGGCTCAGTTTGCTTTACTTGGGGCAGTGTTTGGTGTGGCTGGGTGGCTTTTTGATGGGAAATCACCTCTCCTGTGCAAAGCCAGTTGGACAAATAGGGAAAAGTGTCAGGAAAAGGTGAAATAGCAGCTTAATAAGAGATTAGTAATCTCTGATTTCATGGTAGATTGCTGGGTGTGTTTCAAGGAGCAACCAGAGTCTGACATTTGTAGCATTTCTGCTCCAAGGGTTTTTAAAATAACAGGTAAAACTCTGCTCATTTATGCCATGGGTTTGTGGCAGCACTAAATGAACTTGCAGAGAGCAGCTGGAGTAAAACATGAAAATGAAGATGATTTGTAATTCTATGGCTTTTTTTAAGGGTATTTAGAGCTTTTGTGTGGATGTGACCCAGTCAGCTCAGCCATTTCCAGTCAGGCACTTCTTTAATTTATCAGATTTTTGTTTCTGGAGTAAAAGAAATTAATGTACAGCCCAGATTTTTTCCCTGTTTTGCACCCTGACCTTTTCTGTTGTATTTATTTGCTTTTTTCTTGATGGACATGGCATTTTTAACTTCCACCAAGCACATGTTTAGACATTTTCTAGGAAGGTCTCTGTGCAGGCAGCTGGATCTGCTGCTTTGAAGGAATTTGGGGATCTTTACTGAGGGTTCTGCCCCCTCAGGTGAGACCCCAGCCCAGGGGGATCAGAGGATGGAGCAGCTCTGCTGGGAGGAAAGGCTGCCAGAGCTGGGAATGTTCACCTGGAGAGGAGAAACTTTGGGGCCTGCAGGATGGAGAGGGACTTTGAGAAGGGATGGGGGACAGGACACAGGGAATGGCCTCAGGCTGAAGGAGGAGTGCAGGGATAGGTGGGATTTTGGGAAGGAATTGTTCCCTGTGAGGGTGGGCAGGCCCTGGCACAGGTGCCCAGAGCAGCTGGGGCTGCCCCTGGATCCCTGGCAGTGCCCAAGGATGGGCTTTGGAGCAGCCTGGGACAGTGGGAGGTGTCCCTGCCATGGCAGGGGTGGGATGGGATCTTTATGATCCCTTCCAACCCAGACCAGTCTGGGACTCCATGAAATTCCAGCCTCAAGCTCTGTCATTGTCTGTGAAGGGCAGCACACTCCAGTCTGGGGCAATATTGCAACCAGTTCTTTGTGCAGTTTAAACTCTGAATTTCCCTCTTGAAGGATCTATGAGAAACCATATTCCTGAATTTCTGGCATCCCAGAATGGTTTTGGGGTGGAGGGGACCTTAAAGCTCCTCTCCCTCCAAACCCCTGCCACGGCCAGGGTTGGCTTCCTCAGGGCCCCATCCAGCCTGGCTTCCCAGGAGCTCCAAGAGCCTTTCCTTGGGAAGCAAAGCACAGGAGAAGGATCCCTGAGGGTGGGTGAGGTTTCCCTGCTTGCCCCGTGTGCTGCCCATAACCAGAGCTGCTCTCTCCCGCAGGCTCGCGGGGACTGATGGACGTTCCCGACAGCCCGGAGCGAAACCCCTGCTCTCCTGAGGAAGAGGACCAGCAGCTTTCTGATGAGGAGGTCCTGAAGGAGAGCGGCTCAGAGCGGGAACTCGATGGGGAGGGTGGCCAGGGGAGCCTCCTGGGCGAGGAGGAGGAGGCAGGCAGGGCCCTGAGCCGGGGCGAGGAGGAGGAGAACCACTCTGACGAGGAGGATCGGCTGAGCGAGGCCAAGTCGCAGGAATCCGACACCAACGAGCAGGGCGTGGAGCTGAAGAGCCCCCGGCCCCGAAAGGGGGAGGAGGAAGACAGGACAAACGACCTGGAAGTGTCCTCTGTCACCAGGGAGCTGGATGAGCACGAGCTGGACTATGATGAGGAGGTTCCCGAGGAACCCAGCGCTGCTGCTGCAGAGGAGGATGGGGAGAAAGCTGCTGGGGAGGATGATGAGGAAGAGGAGAAAGGAGATGATGCCCCTGAAGATGAGAAGAAATCCAGCAGCAAAAGTGATGATGAGAAGGATGGGCAGGATCCCCTCAAGGAGAAGAAGAAAGAAGAGGATGATGGGGAAATTGATGATGGAGAAATTGATGTAAGTAGGAGGTGGGCAGAGCCCTGGGGTGGTTCAGAGCTGGTTGCTTCTCCCTCTGCAAGTCCTTCCTCCCCCTGCTGGGAATATCCCTGTCCCTGGTGTACAGGGAACCCTTTTCCCTGGAGGTAAGGCCAGAGCATGGAGCAGGCCCTGGTCTCAGGGGTTCCTGTGCTGAACCAAAACTTTGTGCCAGAGCCATCAGAATGAGCTTTGTTACCTCTCAATGTGGGGAGGCTCCAGTGCTGTAAGAAACTGCCCTGCCTCAGCTCCAGGGGGACTTGGGAATGATGCTGACAGCAAATCCCATGGATTGGGTGGCCAGGAGCTGTTCACATTGAGGGGCTGGTGCTGGGGGTGGTTGTGCTGCTCAGACCCCGATCCTGGGCTGTTCCAGCAGTATCTGGATGCATGGAAGGGCAATGGAAGGTGCTGTGGTTTCTGGAAAATACCCAAGGCGTGGTTTGGATATAGGCTCAGGGATGTGCAGTGTTTCACAGCCCTGAACCAACCGAGATACTCAGAAAAATCAGAAGTGGGGTTTAGTTGCAGGTGGGGATTAGGGAAAATCTCACCTTTAGCTATGGCTGTGCTCAGCAGGGAGCTCTGCAGAGCAGCAGCTGTTCTGTGCAGCTGAACAGCAATTTCCTCCTTCTCTATGAAGAAAAAAGGGCAAAGCAATTCCACTGAAACCCCTCCTATGGGCTCCTGGTCTGGAAGTGCATCCCAGTGGGGGGAGTGTAAGGAGGAGCTGCTGGTGCAGAGCACCTGGGCTGGGGTGTGGGACTGTCCTGGGGACAGCAGGGAAGCCATGGAGTGACCTGGGGTCACTGCTGGGGCTCCTCAGCTGAGCAGGGGAGATGCTCTGTCCTTGCAGCCCCATTCCTGTGGGTCTGAGCTGGCCACAGGAGCCTGGGAAGCTCCTGGAGCCTCACTGCACACATCCTCCTCCCTTTTCTCTAAAGAATCGTATTTGGTGTGGTTTTCACTCTTCATAGTTCATTGACAAGTTTAATTGCTTTCAAAAATGACACAGTTTTTCTCCCTCATGCCCATCCTGGCAGGTGATTTTGTTCAACACGTGCTTTCCAAAGGTTTTGTGTATTCCTGAATCAGTTAGAAGGAATCCCAGTATGTTATGGGCAGAAAAAAAAATTCCTGGAGTCCTGACTCCATGCCTGCTCCTTGATTAAAATATGAATGCTCTCCTTTGGAGCCTGAGGCATTCTTGGGAGCTCTCCTCACAAAGCAGGAGATGAATCTGTAGCCTGGTTTTCATACATTAACTCATAACAGCATTCTCAGCTGCCTGATTCCAAGGAGACCTCCCAGAAATAAATACTTCCCCTTTTGTTGCAGACTTCACACAGCTCTTTTGAAAGCAGCAGAGTGGAGCTGGTTCTCCCATTCATGCAGCACTGAAAGCCAGCCCCAGCTTTGGGGAAAACTTCAAGCTCTGCATTTTCTTCTGCTTTCAGCCTCCTGGCGTGGAGGGAGGGGAATATTAATGCAAATTTTAATTGGAATATAAGTGCAGGCTTTTAAATCCGTTGCTGTTGAGGAGAGCTCTGTCCCTGGCTGGCTCAGGCATGCAGCAGCAGAGGCTCTTCACCCTCCTCTCTGTGCTCCTGGGTTTGTCTGCAGCCAAGGGATGGCTTTTTCCTTCTTGCCAGCTGCTCAGTGGATCAAAGGAGGGAATTTTCCTCATCTTTTGCACCCAGGGAATGGCTGTTGCCAGGCAGAGGGAAGGCCCATCCAGATGCTCCCTCTTCACATGTTTCACATGCTGAGAACAGGGAAATGGAGGCAGAGAGAGAGGGAAAAGCAGGGTGTCCTTTGGGATAAAATCCTGATTTCCTGGCCAGGTACCTGTGACACCTCTCTGGTCTTTGTACCTTTGCCTCCTGCATCCCCAGCTCCTTTCAGCTCCTTTGGGCTTTTCAAGTGTAGCCTAACAAAGCTGGGGAAAGTTTTCTTTTTTCCTTGGAGAAAGGAGAAAATGCTGGTGTTTCAAAGTTCTGAGAACTTTTCTTCTGGAGGTGTTTCATGGCTGTTATTTCTTAATCTTGGAGCAGCCTCCAGCTACCAGAATTCATTCCTGGGGCTGCAGTCCCTGGGGATGAGGCAGAGTTTTGTTTGAGCTGGTTCCCAACTCCAGTGTGGAGCCGAGGAGTAGAAGGGAAGGTGGAGATGACTGGAAGAAATCTGTTGGGTTTATCCTGAAAAGTTCCTTTGTGAGATTGTCCCTGGAGAGGGACTTTGGACAGGGGCATGGAGTGATAGAACGAGGTGGAACTGGCAGGATTAATTTGGATATTGGGAAGGAATTCCTGGCTGGGAGGGTGGGCAGGCCCTGCATCCCTGGCAGTGCCCAGGGCCAGGCTGGGTGGGGTTTGGAGCACCCTGGGACAGTGGAAGATGCTTTTACAGACACCTGGAATCTCCTGTCCTCACCTTGTGCAGGTGCTCTGGGGCATTCCTGTAACCTGACCTTGTTTTTCTCCCGTGGTTTTGCCCCAGGGTGGCTCTCAGTGTTTGCACAAGACTGGGAAATGTCAGGTCCTGCAGGGCATGCCCCACATGAAATGTCAGCTTTGTTGTGTCTGTTCCAGGATGATGACTTGGAAGAAGGGGAGGTTAAAGACCCCAACGACAGGAAGGTGAGGCCCAGGCCCACCTGCCGCTTCTTCATGAAAGGTAACCCCACCCTGGGGGCTGGGAGGAGCCAGAGCTGCTGCCCTTGCTCCTGGTTGGGGAATTTTCTTCTCCATTAAGCTGCTGTTACATGATAAATTCTGCCCCAAGCGTCCTCACTGTCAACTTGCTGTTTGTTGGTGGCCAAAGCTGAATTTCCGTGGAGCCACTACACAAAAAGGGCTTTGCCCTCAGCGTGGTGAGCCTGGAGGAGGTGAATAAAGGGAGACTTGCAGGGGTTTTTGGAATAAAACACAGAGGTTGTGGCTGCTCCAACCAAGGCCAGGCTGGACAGGGCTTGGAGCAGCCTGGGGTAGTGTAAAGTGTTGGGATTGCAATTGGATGGGCTTTAAGGCCCTTCCAGCCCAAACCATTCCATGATTCTGTCCCAGTTTGTTTGGGATGCACTGTGGTGCTTGCTTTGCCCTCAGGTTTCCTGTGAAAGGCAAAGCTCCCAACTGGAAATGTTTGTCATTAACAAATGAGGATCTCATAGGCTTATTCCTACATTTAATTAACAGTGTGTGTCCAGCCCTGACTCCTTCCCTTCTCCCCACTGGAATAAGGTTCTTGTACATTGTTCCATCTGTGTGTGGGTCTGTTTGTCCTCTCTGGCAGGTGGAGAGTGCCAGTGCAAACAAACAGGTAAATCCCAACCCAGCTGGAGAGGAGAAAAGTCAAAACACCTCCAACAACATTACTCCTTAAAGGGTTTTACCTGCCTGGTGGGGTTCTGCTGGCTGTGGGGCTGGAGTGCTGCTGGGAGCAGGGTCTAACAGCTGTGTGTTCCCACAGGACACTGCACCTGGGGCATGAACTGTCGCTTTATCCACCCCGGAGTGAACGACAAGGGCAATTACTCACTCATCTCCAAACCTGAGCCCTTCTCCCCCAACGGGGCCCCTCCCATGGGCCCTCACCCGCTGATGCCAGCCAACCCCTGGGTATGGAACCTCTTCTGGCCATTCATGGCTTCTGCACCACCCTCCCCATCCCTGCAGCGTTCCAGGTGGGCTTTTGGACAGCCTGGTCTGGTGGGAAGTGTTCCTTCCACTGGAACCAGATGAGCTTCCATGTCCCTTCCAACCCAAACCATTTCACAATCCTGGGATTTTCCTCCTCTTTTTTTGACCTAATACCTATCAAAATTCAACCCCCAGTTGGATGTGTGATTTTTAAATGGAGATCTTGGAGTTGCCAGTAGAGGGGGGTAGAATTCCATGGTTTCCCAGCTTAGTCCTGCTGAGGCACATCTGGAGTAACTCTGAGTAGCTTTACAAAGCACAGCTTTGCTGTTTAAAACTAACTCAAGTGTCTTCTCCTGCTCTCCTCACCTTTCCAACAGGGAGGCCCAGTGGTTGATGAAATCTTACCTCCACCTCCTCCAGACCCTCCAACAGAAAGTGCCTGGGAGAGGGGACTCCGGCATGCTAAAGAGGTAAATTCCTTCCTCAGGGAATTGCTGGCTGCCTCCAAAATCCACTGGAGGAGCTCTTTTTGGAGCACAGGTGTCTTGCTCTTTCTCTATTCCTTTTGCCTGTTAATCTGTTAATTGTGATTTGTTGTACATCACAATTGTTAGACAGCCAAGAGCAGCTCAAATCCAGGTTGGGAGGGGTTTATGTTCAAAAAATAGTGGGAATTTGTGGCCCTCAAGTCCAGCTCTCCACAAAGCAAAGCTTTATGCTGATCCAATTTGCCTCCCTTCAGTGCCTGTTTCTCCAGTTTGTGATTGCTGCAGGGGGAAACTTCTGTTTCCTGCTGTTCTGAGCTGGTGGAACATGGAATTAATCAGGAAAAGTCCAATATCCTGCACATTCTGAGGGAAGAAGGTGCTCTGGCTGCAGGAAACCTCCTGAGGGCAGGATTTTTAATATTCTAATTTCTCCCTGCCCCAGGAACCTTCTCTCCTCACACTATTTTTGTGCTCTTTAAAAAGGTATTAATTTTTTTTTTTCATTAAAAAAGGTATTGAAAAGGTATTTGTGGTGGTTTCAATCATTGGCTTTTCTGGGTTTGGATTGAAGGCACTTGAGACAGTAATTTGTGTTGGGACTCAAGTGTTTATTATTTCTTATTAGTATAACAGTCTCACTACTGTGAGTTCAGCAGCTTTTCATTAGAAGGCACAAAATGGCCAACTGTCTCTTGTTCCAAGGTCTTTTAAGACTAAACAATCTAATTAAGAGCTGACACCTGGATTATTTTCCCTTTTAACCCAATAATTGATCCCACAGAGCCCCCAATACAGACTTTTCTGCCCAATTACAAAATGCCACCCAAACCCAAGAAGAAGAAGCATGAAGAAGAAACCCAGGACAGCACCCTGTGCCCTCCATCTTGCTTCCATCCACAATATACTAAAAATCCCAGAATCTAAATTTCTCACCAAGTGATACACCTCCACTACTCTCTATAATAATAATAATAATCTATATTATGGATTATAGATTCCACTTTTGTGGATTCTAGTCTGTTCTGGAGTTTAGGAAACTTTCTCCGTGAATGAGGGTCAAAGTCAGTGAAGAAGAAGAAACCCAGGACAACACCCTGTGCCCTCCATCTTGCTTCCATCCACAGCACACTAACACAAAACCTAAATGTCCCACCAAGTGATACACCTACACTGCTCTCTATAATCTATTGCACACTTTTGTGCATTCCAGTCTATTCTGGAGTTTAGGAAAATTTCTCCATGACTGAGGGTCAAAATCAGTGCTGCCCTGGAGGTCAGGGCACCCCAGAGCAGACAGAGAAATATCCCTGGGTTTCCACAGGTATTAAAAATGTTCTTCTCTTTAAAAAGGTATTAAAAAAGGCAACAATGAGGAAAGAGCAGGAGCCTGACTTTGAGGAGAAGAGGTTCACAGTGACCATCGGGGAGGACGAGCGGGAGTTCGACAAGGAGAACGAATTCTTCCGGGACTGGAATTACCGCATCACCCGAGACGTGCGGGACCCCGCGTAAGAGACAGCCCAGGGAGGGACACCTGGCTGGGACTGCACTGCAGGGAGCCTGCCTGGGCTTCCCTGTGCCTCCTCCACACTGGGGATGGCACCTCCAAACAGGGAGCAGCTCCCAGCAGCAGGAGGCTGAGAGCTTGAGCTGCCTCCGCTCGCTCCGGTTCAGCCCCACCTCCCTTCCCAGTCTCCTTGAGCCCTTCCTGCCTCCAATCTCCTTTGGAATTCTGCTTCTCCTGGGCTCTCTCCAGCTCTGCATTGCCTCCCTCACACCAGTGTGTTCTTCCAGCTTTTTTTCTCCCTTTTTTTCCTTATCCCAACCATGAGAATTTAAAAGCATTCCAGCTGAGGCCGGGAAGTTGGAGCGTGTTCAGTGTGCAGGAGCTGGTGGCCCCAGCTGGGGCAGAACTGGTTTAACAAACACCTGGACTGGTCCCAGTTAAAGCTGGTACCTGGTTTAACAAACACCTGGACTGGTCCCAGTTAAAGCTGGTACCTGGTTTAACAAACACCTGGGCTGGTACCTACCAGTTAAAGCTGGCACCTGGTTTAACAAACACCTGGACTGGTACCTACCAGTTAAAGCTGGTACCTGGCCACAACAAGCACCCTAAATTTAAGTGTTCAGGTGATTGGGGTTTTCAGGTAAAATTTCAAGACCTCAAACCCAGCTCTGGGAAATTGTTTGGTAGTTCTCGAGCCAGGAAAAGGAATGGGAAGAGAATTTTTGGGGAAGAGGCTTGGATTCTGCAGGAGTACAGGTGGATTTGTCTCTCCTTGCTCGTGCATCCTCTGTTCTTCCTACATGGACAGATTATGGAAATATTTCCAATCCCAGAGGGTTTGCAAGGCTTAGTTCTGTTTATTTTAGAGTGGATGAATTACAAAAAAAAAAACCAAAAACCTCTGAAAAGGAGTAGATTAAGCTTTTGTTCAATATTCTTTGATTTGCTCTGGAGTGCAATTCCTTTCCCTAATTAAAAAAAAAAAATACAAAAAACCCTGTCCTCAGTTCTGCAGCCTGAAGGAAAAGAAATTTCTTAAGTATTAATATTTTCCTGAGTTTCATTAGCTCTGGATCTTGGGCTTGTGTTCCTCTGAGGCACCTGGGGTTTACAGTGTTCTGGGGGCTGTTCATCCATTATCTTTATTTTATGACTGTCCTATAAAATGCACCAGCAGCATTTTGGGCCTCTCTGATGTAGGAATTGTTAAGAGCAGGCCTGGTTTTTGTGTAGTTCAGAAAAAAAAATGTATTGCACATAACCAGTATTAAACAAAACTCATCCAACAACTGGAATTCCTGAAAATTCAAGGCTGTGTGAACAGGCTGTGGCATTAAAATATCCTCATTGTGTGTGAAGGGAAAAGTTATGAATCTGCTGCTGCAAGCTCTAGAAAATGCTGATTTTTCTCCTCCACACACACAGTTTGTTGCCCAGCTGGACACCTTGCAGCCAACTGAGCACTGGAAGTGCAGCTGGGATGTGGAAAATGCTTTCAGCACTGTCTTGTGACGTGTGGAGTTGTCTCAGTAGTTCATGAATCCCTTTTTCTTTTTTGAATAACTATAGGGAGGTGGACATCAAAGAAAACATTAACTATGGGTAAGCAGGTCTTTGATTCCAGTACTGTTACAACTGTAAGAAAATTTTCCTTTGCCTTTTTTTCCATTGCATTTCCTCCAACTTCTGGGGCCACAGACAGACCCCTGTCCCCTCAGCAGCTGAACTCAGTGGATAGATTGGATTATTTTTGGGGTGGTACCAATTATTTTTTAATGATATAAACACTGAATTACCCAAGCACACAGCAGTGATCCTTTTTGAAAAAAAACCCCTCCAATGTTACAGGAAGGGGAAATTTGAGCTGGAGGCTGTGTGAAAAAGCAGAGTTTCCTTTCTGGCATGGCTTGAAATGTTTTCCTGTCTCTTGGAACACCTGATGTCACTGAATCCAGGCTGCTCTGGGGTTGGCATCAGGAGTTTGTTGCTGACTGAAGCATCCCAAATCCTGGTTCTCCTTCCCTTGGCTTATTGCTTCAGTCCAAAAGAGAAATCCTAAATTATTTAAAAGCACTGAAGGAAATATAGGTACCACTCACAGGGCAGCACCTACATCTTAACCTGGCTTAGGTTATTTGGCACAGTAAAAATTCAAAATGTGTCCTCTTTATTCATTTTTTTAATAAATCAGAGTCTCAATATGGATAATCTGGAATTTGGGAGCACTTGCTGTGTAATCTTAGCTCTGCCACTGACTCCTCTGTGGCCCTGGAAGTTTCTTACTCCCTGTACCCCCTCCTCATCCTCACAGTGGACCTGATATTTGCACTCCAGGTGCTTGGATGTTGTTGAGTTGGGGAATTAAAACCATCAAACAATGTAAATAGAAATCAGGAGATGGAGGAAGCAGCTTTAAGGAGGGTGGGGTTTCCATCCTTTTCCTCCCCAAAAATCCTTCATTCTGCAGTTGTGTGTGTGCCACCAGTCCATGGCTGGGCCAGCAGCTGATTCCCACTGGAGAATATCAGCTGGAGAAGTGGTGCCTTCATTCCAGGGGGTCATTCCAGGTCCAGAGTGCTGCTGACCTGCCCCAAAGCTCCACTGCTCCCTGTGCAAAGCTCCTGTCCTGTACTGGTGGCACTGGTGGCAGCCATCACTGCAGGGGCAGGACCTGGGGCACTCCTGAAGGAGTTTGGGATGAGCTGTGGGTGCATGGGCAGAAATCCCAGCTCTCAATCCCTGAGGGAGAACATGTGCTGCTCCCTTTGCAGGCACTGGAAGGGGCTCTCAAAAGCTCTTTCTGTGTTTGCACCGCATTGATTTGAAGGCTGAATTTTTGGCAGCTCTTTTTTTGGTGTTTATCAAGAAAGGTTTGTGCTTTTCTATGATAAGCCTCACTTAAAAAAAGACTATTTGGTTGGGCTGTGTAGAAAATAAACATCTCTGCACAGCCCTGCTGCATTGAACGTGGTTTTGTTGTCACAGTGGCTGAGCTGACCTAGCACACAGAGTTTTTGTGGTGCCAAGGTGCCTTTTCCCTCTCTAACACTCCCTGTTTTTCATTGTAGGCTTGATCCCTATGCAGATCCCTATTATGACTATGAAATAGAGCGCTTCTGGCGTGGTGGGCAGTATGAGAATTTCAGGGTTCAGTACACAGACCCCGACCCCTACCGTAACTACAGAGTAAGTAAGGAACTCCCCCCTTCCCCCTTTTCCTTCCTGACTTTCTTCCAGGTTCTTCTGGGCCTTGGCACACTTCCAGGGCAGTGCTTGAAACAGGCGTTTTCAAATAGTTCAGTCTTGGCTCGGTCCCAGCACAGAGCACGCTGGAGGTGAGGGGATGGAGGATGTTCAGTTCCAGCACCACGAGGGTGAAAGCAGCGTGCCAGGCTTGGGAGGGAGGCTGGGAGGCTGCCTGATGGAAAAGGACATGGAGTGTGCTGCTTGACAGTGGCTGAGAAGGCCACTGGCACCTGGCATGGCCACAGCCCCAGGGCAGGGACTGTCCCCTGTGCTGGGCACGGCTGAGGCCACACCTGGGCTCTGGTCAGGTTTGGGCCCCTCCAAAACAGACACTGAGGGGCTGGAGTGTGTGCAGGGAGGAGAATGGAGCTGGGAAGGGGCTGGAGAATCCTGAGGGAGCTGGGAAGGGGCTCAGCCTGAGAAAAGGAGGCTCAGGAGGGACCTTGTGGCTCTGCACAGCTCCTGCCAGGAGGGGACAGGCTCTGCTCCCAGGGGAAAAGGGACAGGAGGAGAGGGAACAGCCTCAAGTTGCACCAGGAGAGGATTAGATTGGATTTTAGGAAAATTGTTCCATGGAAAGGGTGTAAAGCATTGGAAAAAACTGCCCAGTAAAGTGGTGGTGTTGCCACCCCTGGAAGTGTTCAGAAAACCTGTGGATGTGGCACCTGGGGACCTGGTCAGTGGTGACCTTGGTGATGGTGCTGGCTGAAAGTTGCACTTGATGATCTAAAGGTCTTTTCCACCCTTAACAATTCCATGTCTGAGGTGGTTCCTGCTCGTGCTCCTTGGCTGCTCCTCAGTGTAGCAGTTGAGCAGTGCTTGCCCATCCTTGGACATCTTGGAGAGGGAAGGAGTTTCCAGGAAAGAACCTGGTTGAAAACTTCAGAAAGGCTCTGAACCCTTTCCCTGCTCTTCCTTTCCCCTCATGCAAACTTTGTGCCTCTGGAACAGTGACCAAACTAACCAAGTCCTGCTCGGAGGGCATCTTTTCAGTGCTTTCCATCAAATCCTTTCAAAAGTAGCTTTTCCTTTCCTCTAAATCCTTGTTTTCTGCAGGACAGGAGCCTGGGCCTCACTGTGGCCACACACGACCAATTATTTTCCTGGTGCTCATTTGCAAAGTTAATTATCTGCTTATAGAAATGATCAGCAACAAGAGGAAAGACTTGTAAACATCAATACATTTATTTAATAAGCTTCATAAACCAAATTAATCCAAGCATTGCCTTTGAAAACAACGGTTGTGTGGTTGTATCCAGGGTCTGCTTGGCAGGATCCAGATTATTGATCTCCAGATTATTGATCCCCATGTCATTGGTTTGCAGATTATTGATCTCCATCCTTTGCTGAGGGAGGGCGGATGTAATCCTGGCATTCCCAGGATTGATCTGGAATTGTAACTCCTGGCATTCCAATGTCATTGATTTCCAGATAATTGATCTCCAGATAATTGGTCTCCATGACATTGATCTCCATGTCATTGGTTTGCAGATTGTTGATCTCAATCCTTTGCTGAGGGAGGGCAGATGTAATTCCTGGCATTCCTGTTCATTGATCTCCAGATTATTGATCTCAATCCTTTGCTGAGGGAGGGCAGATGTAACTCCTGTAATTCCCAAGACTGATCTGGAATTGTAACTCCTGACATTTCCATGTCATTGATCTCCAGATAATTGATCTCCATGTCATTGATCTCCATGTCATTGGTTTGCAGAGTATTGATCCTTTGCTGAGGGAGGGCGGGTGTAATTCCTGGCATTCCCATGTCATTGATCTCAGATTATTGATCTCCGTGTCATTGGATTGCAGATTATTGATCTCCATATCATTGGTTTGGAGATCATTGATCTCCTTTGCTGAGGGAGGGCAAATGTAATTCCCAACATTCCCAGGATTGATCTGGAATTGTAACTCCTGACGTTCCCATGTCACTGATCTCCATGTCACTGATCTCCATGTCATTGGATTGCAGATTATTGATCTCCATGTCATTGGTTTGCAGATTATTGATCTCGATCCTTTGCTGAGGGAGGGCAGATGTAATTCCCGTCATTCCCAGATCTGCCCCCCTTTGCCGGGAGCTGCTCCCACAGCATCACCGTGGTTTCTCTGTTGTTTTTTCCAAGGAACGAGAGCGAGAACGGGAGCGGGAGCGAGAGACCCGGCAGCGGGAGCGGGAACGCGAGCGGGAGCGCGAGCGGGAGCGAGAACGACGGCAGCGGGAGCGCGAGCGGGAGCGGGAACGGGAGCGCGACAAGGAGCGGCAGCGGCGCAAGGAGGAGTGGGAACGGGAGAGGGAGAGAGTGAAGAGGGACGAGAAGGACAGGCAGCACCGGGACCGTGACCGGGACCGCGACCGGGACCGTGACAAGGACAAGGACAAGGCCAAGCCGCGCTCCCCGCTGCTCCCCAGGTGAGTGTGAGCTGTATCCTGCCTGGTGTGATATCACAGCTATTGCCATGTGACAATGGCAAAGGCCATCGTGCTGCTGTCCACAGGGGTCCCACGACGAGGGAAGAGACGAGAATTTTGACTCTGTATTTCAGAAGGCTGATTTATTATTTTATTATATATCTTATTTATACTATTTAGTATAGTTTTAATATAATTAATATATATTGCATATTAATGAATATATATAATTAATATATATTATATACATAGTAAATATAATTAATATATATTATATTAAAACTATACTAAAAGAACTATAAATATTAAAACTATACTAAATAGTATATATAGAATTAGTATAGATTATATATTAATTAATATATAGAATATATATTATATTTATAGTTTATACAATTAATATATATTATACTAAAACTATACTAAATAGTATATATAATTTATATATACTAGTATATATAATAGTATATACTATATATACTATATATAGTACATATTAATATATATTTTTTAATTTTAAATATATATTAATTAAATATGTATTATTTTAATTTTAAATATAATATATATTTTAAAACTATACTATATTTTAGTATCATTTTAATATAATATACAATATATATTGTAATATATATTAAAACTATACTAAAAGAACTCTACATATAACTATACTAAATAGTATATATGTTTAATATATTTTATATACTAATTAATATATATTATATATAGTGTATATAATTAATATATATTAAAATTATACTAAAGGAACTACAAATATTACATTAAAACTATACTAAAAGAATAGAAGAAAGGATTTTATCAGAAGGGTGGCAAGGAATAGAAAGGAATGGAATGATAATAAAATATTGTGACTGAGTAGAGAGTCCGAGACAGATGGGCTTTGGCCATTAATTAAAAACAACTACATGAGCCCAATCAAAGATGCACCTGTTGCATTCCACAGCAGCAGATAATTACTGTTTACATTTCGTTTCTGAAGCTTCTCAGCTTCTCAAGAGAAAAAATCGTAACAAAAAGATTTTTCATACAATATGTCTGTGACATTGGATGTGCTCTGAAGGAATGCTGGAAAACTTGCAGAAATTAGTGGGAGTTGGTTATGTCTGTCAGGGACTTCTCCAGGAGGGCCAGGTTCTCTTTTGACATTAAGGAGGATATGAATTGGCAGGCTTCAGTTTGCTTATTGTCTATAATACTAATATTGAAGGAGATTTTTCCTTTTGAAAGCAGGATAATTAAGATATTTTCAATCATCTTAATGGCACAAAGCTGTGTCAAGTAACATTTAGGGTGGATATTAGCAAAAGCTTCTTCACTCAGAGCACAGTTGGGCACTGGGACAGGTTCTCGTTGGAAGTGGTCACAGCACCAAACCTGACACAGTTCAAGAAGCATCTGGGCAGTGTTGTTGTGACTGATCCCGGTGTGTGGAACTGCTGAGGACAGTTGTAGTTAATGAGCCTTGTGGCCACTAAGTGGAGCTAAAACACCGGTGACAATGAGTGCATAACCTGACCCTGCAAGCAGGAGTGTCCTTTGGTGTGGAGATGGTCGGCTCCTCCCTCTTTCCTTCAGGCTGGAGAGGTTTTGGGAGGATGAGGGACTCCTCCTGCAGATTGGTTCCCTGGGAGCCCTGTGGTGACTCCCTTTGAGGCCTTGAGAAATGTCTGTCACAAGAACCAGGGCTGCTTTGGGAGTTTGTGGATAGCAAAAGTGTCTGGAGATGTAAGTACAACTCGAAAAAGGAAAGGAATTGTCCTTGGAATGAGTCTCTGGTCAGTGGAATGGCAGCATGAGGTCAGGTTTGTTTCCTCTGACCACCCATTTGTGGAAATCCTGGTTGTGACCTGTATGAAAGAGAAAATGGAAGCAGACAGACTGAAAGTGCAGCAGTGTGATTCCTGTTTTGTTCCTCTGTCAATGATTTACCTACCCTGCCTTCCCAGCCTCCTCTGCCTGAGGCACATTTGTAGAGCACTGGATAAATATCCCAGTGGAATGGAAGCTCTGGTGTCACAGCCTCATTGGGTTCAGAATCATGGAAAGTATCACGTTTTTTGCAGAGGGACATCTTGGAGCAGCCTGGTCTAGTGGAAGCTCCCTACCCTTGGCAGGGGGGGTGAAATGAGATGAGCTTTAATATCCTCCTCAACCCCACCCATTCCATGATTTGGGATCTCCAGGAAAACTGCTGAACAGTTTCTTGGGAAGAGTGGCAGACAGAGACTCCCAGAGTGTGGAGCAGCCTGGGGACGCCCAGGCGTGTGTGGGACACAGAGAAGTGCAGAGAAGCTGTTTGCCAAGATTCACTGGAGCTTTTCCTGCTGCCTGGTGTCTGTGCTGTTCCTCTGCACTGGAGGAAGGTGTGAAACACGATGGGCATGAGGAAGAGTTGGATCAATGAAGAGCAGGGTGGGGAATGCCAGGAATGAGGCTCCACGTGGAATCAGGTGGTTTCAGGTGGGAGTAGGGCTTAGTCCTGAATCCAACCCAGAATTTTATCTGCATTGCTGAAAGGGTAGCTGGTTTTTGTCCCTCTTTCCCAAGAGGAAGTGACAGTTTCAGAACGGTCTGGAGGAGCAGCAGCAGCTGCAGAGCAGTTATAGGAACACCATAATTACACGTTCCGTTTAATTATAATCTTCACTTAACAACCACGATTTGTGCACCTTAATTACCACGTTGCCCCAGTGGTTTGCGCTCTCCTTGGCTTGGTGATGGGACAGATCTTGTCCAGACCCATGTGATGGAGATGATGTCAATGAAAGTGATGTCACCTGCTTGGCAGCTCAAGGTCACGAGTCAGTGACAGTCAGTGTGACCCAAGGATGAGCCTGCTGGCTGCTCCTTCCCCTGGCACTCCTGGAGTCCTGGGGCAGGGCTCTCTGGGGAGAGTTTGGGCTGCCAGTGCTGCTCAAAGGGTGCTGGGTAGGAGCAGTGGCTGTGCTCACCAGTCTTGGATCCCTCTCATTCCATGAAACCACATGAGAGCCCAGAGATGGGATGGACAGCATGCAGGGGATTCACATTCTCTGCTTCCCTCTGGCACAAGGGAGCTGGGGATGCCTCTTGTGTCTCCAAAACAGGCTCCTTGAGATAAGTCTTGGTCATTCAAAAATAGTTTCTGATGCACCTCTTTGCTTTTTTTGTTTTAAGTCTGCTACAGAGGGGGACTTTTCAAAGGGCATGGAGTGACAGGGCAAGAGGGAATGGCCTAAGTTCAAGGGAATGCAGAGTTAGATGGGATATTGGCAAGGGATTCTTCCCTGTGAGGGTGGTGAGCCCCTGGCACAGGTTGCCCACATTGGAAGGGACCCTAAAGCCCATCCCATCCCCTGCCATGGGGTTTCATTTCCCATGGTAGACATCCCTGCCAACATGGCCCCGTCTCACAGCTCTGCAGGTGTCTGGTGGAGAAAGCAAACCTGCAGAAAGAAGTTTTGAAGAAGCTTTTTAACAAGTGAAAGCATGATTCCAGCTTGTCCCTTGGAGGCCACGTCCCTCAGCCGTCCCTTGGCGCTTGCCCAGCGGTCCCCGTCACGCTCGTGCTGTCACCTGGCTCTGGCCTGTGTCCCACGTCACTTTGTGACCAGCTCCCAACTTCCTCGTGGCAGTGCAGTGGCTCGAGCCGTGTCACCTTTCCTCCACATTGCTCCGTGCCAGCTCCAGAGGGGCAGCTCTGGGCATCCTGGGACCGAGCAGCTCCCGAGCCCGTTGGACGTGTCACACCTGGGATTGCTGCGCGCTTCCTGGCAAGCAGGATGCAGGGCAGTGCCACAGCACACACCTGGGGCTCTGCTGCCTCTATTTATAGACTCTGGGCTTTCCCTAATTGCTGGATCCCAGCTTTTGGCAGGTCCAGCCTCTCTGAGCTGGCTCACACCACGGCTGCCCGTTAACATTCCTGCCACTCGCAGGGCCCACGCGGCCCTGGCGCTGGTGAGCCGGGAGAGCTCCTCCTCAGCAATGGGAGAGCTCCTCCTCAGAGATGGGAGAGCTCCTCCAGAGATAGTGGAGAGCTCCTCCAGAGGGCTGGGAGAACTTCACAGAGATGGGAGAGCTCCTCCACGGGGCTGGGAGAGCTCCTCCACAGAGATTGGAAAGCTCCTCCACAGAGATTGGAAAGCTCCTCCACAGAACTTGGAGAATTCCTCCACAGGGCTTGAAGACCTCCTCCACAGGGCTCAGAGAACTCCTCCTCAGAGGTTGTGCAAGCAGCACTGAGCTTTGCCCAAGGCAGAGCTGAGGGTGTCTGTAATTCCAGGTCCATGTCAGTCGCTCTGTCGGTGTAGGGGCTCCCACAGGAGCTGGAGGAAGGAACAAACCAGGACCTACAGAATCAAGGGATGAGAGAACCCAAACAGCAAACAGCCAGGAATACAGGAGCAAATTGCCTTTCCATTCTGCTGAAAGCAGGAAGGTTTAACCTGATCTCTAAACAACAGAGGAGTTTAAGGCTGAAAATGTGGAGAAGCCAAAATTGTTCCCAGCATTGCTGGATGATGGAGCTGAGCAGGAATAGAATTTAACAAAGATTTAAACCCTGATGCATTCAGGGACAAGTGTTTCTCCTTGAACCTGTGGAAAGAAGAGGCTGCAGTGTTTGGGCTCCAGTGGGATTGTCACAGGTGGATTGGCCTTTTATGAAGGAATTCACAAAATTGTCTTCTAGTACCTGTAGGAGCTGCTAAAAAGAGAGAGAGGAACTTTGAACAAGACAAGGGGAGATGGATTCAAACTGGCAGAGAGGAGGTTTAGGTTGGATTGTGGGAAGAAATTCTTCCCTGTGAGGGTGGGCAGGCCCTGGCACAGGTTGCCAGAGAAGCTGTGGCTGCTCCTGGATCCCTGAACTGTTCAAGGCCAGGTTGGAGCACCCTGGGCTCGTGGAAGGTGTCCCTGCCCATGGCAGGGGGCTGAATGAGATGAAATTTAAGATGCATTCCAAACCAAACCATTCCATGATTCTGTGAATGTTCAGT